TGCTTCTTATTTTAATTGCATTGATTTTTTTTTTCCATGCTTTTTCATTTTGGGTAACAAAGGATATCAGTTTTGTCCTTTGTGATTGTCTTTGTCTTTTGTTTGTTGAAGAAATCCTGCCCCTCACTCAAAATAACTAAAAACTGCATAAAATATTTGAGGAATCAATCTATCAAAGCACACAAGATGCTTGTATAGATTCAATTACAAAGTGATCTTTAAAGAAATAAAGAACAACTTAAATAACTGGAGGAACTCATGGTAGGGCTGTGTAAATGTAATAAAAATGATGATACTGCCTAGATTAAGTTACAATTTTACTGGTATATCAAAGTATCAAAGGCATGCCTTATAGGACTCAACAACAAAAAGAAAAATAACAAAAGATCAAGAATATCAAGAGAAAAAATTTTTAAAAGGCAGAAGGGAAAATAGTATTTCTACACCTCAAACTAGATTATAAAACTGTAGCCATTGACAGCATTTAGCAATGTTTGAAAAATAGAGGTGGATCAATGTAACAGACTAAACAAGGGAAAACCAGAAAGAGTGGAACTCAAAACCCAATATCCATAAATGCAAAAACATAAATTACTTAGGAAAGGATTCCCTATTTGATTAAATTGCTGGGAAAACTGGAAAACAGTCTGGCAGAAACCAGGCTTAGACCATCACCTTGTAACATATTCCACAAAATTCAAAATGGATTCATGATTTTAATATTAAAGATCCTATCATTAAAAAATTACCAAAGAAGCAGGTCATACATCTTTTACTACTACAGTTAGGAGATGTTTGGTTAACCAAACAAGGGATAGAGGCAATTCCAAAAGATAAAATAAGTAGTTTTTTTTAAATAACAAATTAAAAAAGGATTTGTTCAAGCAAAAATAATGCATCTAGAAAAAGATAAGGGAAAAATCTTTGTATCAAATTTCTCTGATAAGGGTTTGATACATAAACAACTAACTAATGCATATATGTATGCAAATCATTCTCTAATAGATAAGTGGTCAAAGTAGATGAACGAATAATTTCCAAAAGAGGAATTAGAAACTATTAGCAACCACATGAAAAAATAATCCAAGTAACTACCAAGTAGACAAATACAAAATAAAACAACGCTAAGGTTTAATTCACAGCCAGTAAATTGGTACAGATGACAAAAGATGAAATAATAAATATTGGAGGGGTTGTGGGAAGATAGCCACACTAGTGCATTGTTGGTGGAGCTGTAAATCAGTATAACCACTTTGCAAAGCAATTTTAATCATTCATGTAAAGTGTCTATAATATCCATACCCTTTGACTTAGAGATTCCATGACCTAGCATATGACCCAAGAGGATCACTACTAAGAAGAAAATTCCCACATTCACCAAAATATTTGTAGTAGCACTTCTTGCATTAGCAAAGAATTGAAAACAAAATAGATGTCCACAGATAATGGAATGGTTAAATGAATTTATGGTACAGTGTAATGTAATATGACTGTGGTGTAACAGAATGATGAATGTGGTGACTACAAAGAAGCATGGAAAGACTTAATGTGAACAGATGCAAAATAAAGTAAACAGAGCAAAGAAAACAATATACACAGTGACTACAACAAAAATGTAAATGGAAAGAAAAATCATCACAAAATGATAAAAACTTAGTGTTACAATATTAGAAAGAAAAAAAGTGGCCCCAAAGAAATATGAAAAGAAACTGCCTCCCCACTGCTTTGCACATGAGGGAGGCCCAAGAGTGTGGAACATTGCATGTATTTTCAGACTTCTTCCATATTTTTATTGGTTTTGCTGGATTTTTCTCCTCTTCCTTTGTTTCTTTAAAAATATTCCTTGTTGGGGCAGCTAGGTGGTGCAGTGGATAGAGCACCAGCCCTGAAGTCAGGAGGACCTGAGTTCAAATCTGACAGACCAAACACTTGACACTATCTGTGTGACCCTGGGCAAGTCACTTAACCCCAATTGCCTAAAAAAGCAAACAAACAAAAAATATTCCTTGTTATATGGTATGACTCTGGTAAAAGGAAGGAGAAGGGATACTGGGAGAAATTTTAGTGATCTAAAATAAAAATATATGAACAAAGATTTATTTTTTAAAAACCCAATAAAAATCTTCCTCCAGTCAGAATTATGATAGGTACCTCATTGTTTATTTTTATATGGTGTAATGTCTTATATTTTGGTCAAGTATCTGTTTAGAGTTTCTTGTGATATATAGTATAAGTTGCTGGTATAAATTTAATTTCTGCCAAATAGTTTTTCAGCTTTCCCAGCAGTTCCTATCAAAAAGAAAGCCCTTCCACCAGTAATTTATGTTCATGGTTTTATCAAACCCTGATATAACATTTCCCTTTGCTTCTGGTTCTTACTTGCCTCATCAGATCCACTGAAACTTTCCTATATCGTTCTGTACCAACTCTCTCTTTTTTAAATCTCCAGATCTTTTTTACAAGAACTATTATCTATCCGTATCTTTCTTATTTTTTATTTTGGAAATTAAGTTTTAAATTTAGATGATGATCTTCACATTTCTCCCCATTAAATTTCATCTTACTGTATTTGATCCAATGTTTTAGGCTGTTGAGATCTTTTTAGATCCTAACTACCATCAAGCATGTTAGCTTTGAGTCATCTGCAGATCTGATAAGCATGTCATCTATGACTTCATTCCAGTCATTGATAAGAAGATTAAAACAGTACAGATCCAAGGACTAATCCCTGAGACATTTCACTAGAAAACTCCCTCCAAGTTAACATGAAGCTATTAATGACTACTCTTTGGGCGAGGTCACCCAACCAGTTCTGAATCCTCCTAACTGTTCTGTGTTGTCTAGCTCACAAAAGTCTCCATTTTAGCAAATGCAATCTAAAAATCCAATAAACTCAATAGAGCATCACTTTGGTCTACCCACTAAATATCCCTGTCAGAAAAGGTTAGTTTGATATGACTTTTTTTTTTAAATGAAACTTTCTTGGTATTCACATCCCTTCAGTAATCCATCCTAGAATTTTGCCAGGAATCTCCGGTCTATGGTTTGTAAACTCTACTCTCTGTCCTTTTCTGAAAATTAGGACATTTGCCTTTCTCTAATCTTTCAACAATCCCCACCCCTTACTCTTTAACATACATTCACAGCTGCTTAGAAACTTTATCATTCAGATAATAGAAACAGTTTTTTTCTGTACCTGGGATCTAGTTCATTCAAACCTGATGTCTTGAATTATTTGAGGACAGCTAGGTACTCTCTTATTACCTCCCTATTTATCATGGGTTTGAACCCCCTATTAGTCGTTTCTTTTCTATCCTTCCTAACCTCCAAATCATTCTTCTTGCTAGAGAAAACAGAAGCAAAATATGAGTTGAACCTGCTTTTTAATTTTTTTAATAGCACCCATATGACACTTATCAGTTACTTCCTTGTATTGCTGTCATTTGTGTACACATGGGATATATCTTTATATCCGCTGTACTGTCTAGCCCTTTGGTGTTCCTATAGCAGATGCACAATAAATACCTATTGAATTAATGGCCAACCTGATGCCCTGGAGTTAGTTCCTGCACAAGTCTAGCAGACTTCCTAGATCTTTGGAGGAAAGGGCAAGATGCTATGATCTCAACCTTGACCTTCAGTTCACTCTTCCCTTCTCTCCACCTCTCTACACTTTCCATGCTTTCCTTCCACAAAGGGGATCTGTTTCTCAGAGTAAGGACAGCTGGAGGTCACAAAGTATAAGGTTCAGCTCAAGCCATGACTCTTTACATGCCTTTCCTCTGGTTGGAGTTGATAACCCAGGAGGAGGGGCTCTACTATGAGTCAGAAATAAATTAGAGAGAGGGGGAGAAAGGGAACTGAACTTAAGATTGCTTCTGGTCAGCTCTTGGGTCAGGAGAGCAAGCAGGCAAGTAATGCCCTAGAGATAGAAGGCTTTTAGTGAGACATGAGAATAGAAGAAGCTGCTCCTAATTGGGCAGAGGTGGTAGAAGGTGTTTTTTTGAGGGGGGGAGGGGGACTGTTGTAAGGGTGGAAAGTTGGTGAGGCTCTTGATGATGTCAGGGGTATGGAGGGACCCTGACTGTTGGGGCTGGTTGTCTGAAGGGTGTCCTGCTGAGGCAGAAAACAATTCCTAGAAAAAAAAATTTTTTTTAAAGAAAGAAAGAAAGAAAGAAAGAAAACAATTCCTAGGTAGGGTCATGGGTGTGTGGATAGTGCTGGTTTAGGGAGGGTAAAAGAACGAGTAAAGCGTCTAGGCTGATCTAGTGTCAGAACTTAAGTTTCCTAAGTATTAGTAGAAGCCTTGAACTTTCTCCTAGAATTGGCTATAGAGCAATTTGGGGTGGAGATAGATTCCCTCAGTGGGAAATCAAAAGAAATGTGATTGCAGTAAATTTCTTGAGTACAGTGCTGTCTGATAGCCAGGTAGATGAAAAGGCTGTGGGAGAGTGGGGCCTTCCTCACCTCAGTGAAAGACTCCCAAGCTCTTACGTAAGCAGCGTTTAGTTGGCTGGGGACTCTGCCCCCTGGAACAGAGTTCAGTTATGTTGTGTCTCTTTAGCTCTAATCCTGGATCTCCTGGGCAGTTTGAACACAGCAGGGGGACGGGCAGACATGCAGTGAGTATCTGGGGGAGCGATGGTCAGAAATGGAGTAGACCTAAGGACCCCTACTAAGGGAAGACTGAACCAAGCATAGGCTTGAGACCTGGGAGGGTCTGGATGTCTAGACCAGATGTCTAAATTAGGAAATTTATTTCCTGACTTGGAAGCAGTTATTGCTAGTCAAGCAGCTAAGCTGTGAACCCAGTTGTAGGGATGTCAGGCTAAGGAAGGGAGGTGGTAAAGGGGTCTGGATGGTAGTAGATTGCTTCTCATTGGTTTTGTTGCTGTAACGCCATGAGGAAAACAAGTCCTAGAGCTTCCTCTGCTGGGGAGAGGTTGGGAGGAAGAGAAGTGTGACTTGGTTGGAATGAGTGGTCATTGTTTCCTTTATAGGTCTCAACCAGTACAGCTGACCAGGATGGAATATGCAATGAAGTCCCTCAGCCTTCTTTCTCCCAAGTCTCTTTCCAGGTGAGGCTTCTCCCTATTCAAGTTTACCAAATCAATTCCCTGCCCACAAGAAGGCACACAGTAAGTAGATCTTGCTTGCCCTCTGGCAGTTTATTTATGTTGTGATCCAAGCAAGTTGAAGTTCACCATGGAAGTCTTCCCGAAATAAGTCTGGAATAGACTTCAGAAGGAAGGGAGGGATCATTTGGCTGGGAAGAGAGGGGAAATGGTTAGAAGGTGGGAGAAGTTAAGTGAAGAAGTTGGGAGTTATAAAGAGGACCCATTCTTACTGTCCTATCTGGTTTTCCAGTTGGGTAGCAGTAAATACCTCTGTGGTAAAACAGCAGCTGTTGGCTGAAACGAGTTACGTGACCAAAGCCCTACCCTACCGCGTGAGCAATGCTGATCGGAGTGTTCGGAAAGGGATCATGGCTGGTAGTCTCTTAGACCTCAGCCACAAGGTGAGGGACTGTGTTAGATAGACAATCTTGGTAGTTGCAACTAATTAGCTTCTGTATTTAAAACATTGTCTTAGTGAGGCTAGTCATGAGTACAAGTGTGTACACAAGACAAGAGTGGTCCATGCCTACTGGAAACCCAACCCACCTCCAGCTAAAGGTGGATTAAGATCTTTAGCGATCTCTTTCAGAACTGGAAGGAACCTTAAGTGGCTCACTTTTAAACCAATCTCTGTATTTCTCAGATAAAAAGCAAACAAACAAAACAAAAACAAACAAACAACAACAACAACAAAAAAAAAAGCCAAACAGCCCCATAGAAGGTAAGAGACCTGTCTGAATTAAAGGCTACTTTGCCAGGCTCTCTCATGTCATCCCTCTAGGGTACTTTCCCTTCTCAGTTTTCCTTGTATTTGTTTGTCAATATGTTATAGCCTTCGGAGGAAAACAAAAGCTCCTTGAGGGCAGGGACTTCAAAAAAATCTTATTTTGATTGATAGCTCTTTGTTTTTATAACGCTTTCACTTTGACATTTATCCTTCTCTTTGTGGATCTTATCCCTTGTAAGAGAGATTAGAAAGGGAAGGGGAAGCAATAATTCAGCAAAACCAACAAACATATCGGGTATTTTACAATATGTACAATATTCTATACACATAATACCCCTTTCCCTTTCAACCTCCAAAGAAGAGAAAGAGGTGCATTTTTCAACTCTTCTCTCGAACTAGCTTAGTCATCATAATTTCAGGGCTGATATTTTTCTTTTATTTTTTCCCCCCATTATTGTCATGTGCATATTTTCTTGCATCATTTGATAAGTCTTGGAGAGATTGTTCTTGTCTTTATTAGATCCACCACTGCCTTAAACTTGGTAGATGCTTAAATGTTTGAATTGAATTAGTGACAGAGATGAGACTAGAATCCAGTCTCCTGATTTTTAGTTCTGTTTTATATTAAGTTTTTAGGCAAACTATTGCTGACATGTGACTAAGTCCCTTCTACAACCACAGGTCAAACCCTTTGGTCAAAGTTTGGTGTGAGGAAAAACCTTGGGGATCCCCTTTAGACTAGGGGTTCTTAACTTTTTTGTGTCATAGACTCCTTTGGCAGTCTAGTGAAGCCTATGGATTCCTCAGAATAATGTTCTTAAATGCATAAATATACAATTGTAAGGGAAATTGAGTATATAGTTATACTCGAAATACAGTTATCAGGAAAATTAAAAAAATTTTTTTTTAAATTAAATCCCATGTGAAGAACTCCTGCTTTTGACCCTTAAAAGGCTAGTGAGGTTGGGCAAACTTTTGAAATTTGTCAATAATGACATCTAATAGTATGGACAATGTCCTAAACTCTATATACATTACTGGTCCTTGGAATACTTCTGGACTAATGGTAGACCCCATGAGGTAATTATATTAGTCTAGTTTTCTAATGGTGAAAGAAAGTTACATGGAATAAATACTAAGAATATTTTACTTTCTTTTTTTCTTTTTTCTTTTCTTTTCTTTTTTTTTTTGGTTAGGCAATGGGGTTAAGTGACTTGCCCAGGGTCACACATCTAGTAAGTGTAATGTGTCTGAGGCTAGATTTGAACTCAGGTCCTCTTGACTCCAGGACTAGTGCTCTATCCACTGCACCACCTAGCTGCCCCCTAAGAATATTTTAGACTAGGCGTCCAGGGACAAGTTCTGGTCCCAACTTTGTTGTAGTCACCATTTGTGAATCTGGGCAGGTAGCTCAAACTCTGTGTACTTTTCATGTCCTCACCTGTAAAATGGGGATAAAATTGGACTATATCCAAAGTCTCTTCTAGCTCTATAACCTTATCCTCAAGGAGACAGTTTCCAGCCAACTGGCCAGGACTAAGGAGGGGGGACATTTTAACTTCCCCAAAGAATGGTACTTTGTGTAAACCTTGGTTGTATCATGGTTGTCTTCTCCTTGGATCCTTGTGATTTTTTGCATTTTAGAGATGTCAACTGCCTTAATTTCCACTTAATATCCATCCTGTAGAGGGATAGAATTCCAGGACCGGGAAGAACTGAGGCCTGAATATCCTTATTAGAAAAGGATTATTGAGGGGCAGCTAGGTGGTGCAGTGGATAGAGCACCAGCCCTGGAGTCAGGAGGACCTGAGTTCAAATCCAGCCTTGGACACATAATACTCACTAGCTGTGTGACTCCAGGCAAGTCACTTAACCCCAATTGCCTCATTTCAAAAAAAAAGAAAAGAAAAGGATTATCAGCATAAAGCTGGAAAGAAATCTTAAAAGTCATCTAGTCCAAGCTGCTCACTTCCTAGTGGAGGAAACTGAGGCACAGAGAAGGAAATGACTTTTTAACTCCGTCTGGTTTTGGATAAACCACACAACCTCAGTTGCTGAAGTTGGACTAGATACCCTAAGGTCTCTTCAGCTGTAGATTCATGATCCTAAGTCAAAGTAAGATTCGAACCCAGTTGCTGACTCTAAAATCAACTCTCTTTGCAGTATATTACATTGCCTCTTGGCTTTGAAGAAGAAATGACAAATTCCACCGAAGGGTTCAGAATTCCCCTGGCTGGGGAACCCTGTACCTCTCCCATAACCGTGGGGTGTTCTTTTGATACGAAAGGAAGAGGCCAAGGAGTTCCAGATTGAGTATGGGTAGTAATTTAATCAATCATTATGAGTACTTAGAAAACAGGGGCGATCTTCAGTATAGGGCAGCAGTCAGACAGTTCAGTGTATGCCTGCTAAAGAACTCCAAAAATCCCCATAGTAATTATAGAAAACAATCAAAAGGCGGAGGAGCTAGAGAGTGCATCACTACTGGTTGGTGGATATTTTTGGTTTTCTGATAAGTAATGAGCTTGGGCATTAAGCCAATGTTAGGCCCAAACATAAGTTTGTGTATTGATCATGTATCGGTCATGTATTAGTTACAATATTCTTGTTATGACTTTCATAGGTCATAGTGTCTTAAGTTATGAGTTACTGTCTAAGTTATGATTCAATATCTAAGTTAAAAAGGTCACCATGTCCTGTCTTCCACCTTTCACAGAGTTTAAGTTTTATGGCTTTTCACTTATTACTATATTTTATGGCTTTTCCCCAAAGGGAACCCTCTAGCCACACTAATCCTTTTTCCCTTTCTTCTTATATATTCTTACATATAATTATTCTTATATATCCTCCTTCATCCTCATTCTGTAAAATCTAGATATAATTAAAAGTAAGATGAATAAGGCCAATAATTATGCTTCTTACTGTCCTCTTAAAGGGAGAGGACAAGGGAAAATAATTATCTATCCTTCCCCCCCACCCCCAGACAGCCAAATTTAGTGAAGTCAATTAAGAGTTAAGCTCCTTTTCTCTCTCTCTCTTTTTTTAAGGCAATTGGAGTTAAGTGATTTGCCCAGGGTCACACAGCTAGTAAGTGTCAAGTGTTTGGTCTGATGTCAGATTTGAACTCAGGTCCTCCTGACTTCGGGGCTGGTGCTCTATCCACTGCACCACCTAGCTGCCCCTATACATTTGCATTTTTTAAAAATAGCGTGAATAGACATGGAAAGTATATCCTAGTTAGTATTTTTAAAGTTAAGAACTCCTCCTCTCTTGACTACAAAATTATATTAAAACCTAGGTAGGATTTCAAACTTTCTAAAATATTGCTTTGGGTGGGGGAGGGGCTTTATGTGTGATTCTTTGAAGCCTTAGACAGCAAACAGTATTATGGGCAATACAGTTTTCTATGATGTACTAATTTCAATACTTTTTCTATAACATAGTAGTTTCATGTCTCATACCAGCCCACAGTCAACTGTTTATTTTGCTTTTTCTGGACATCTAACTATATAGTTTATAGATGATAATAACAGCAAGCACTAACACATAGTGCCTATTCTCTGACAAACTAAATACTTTACAAATATTATCTCATTTGATCCTCACAACAGCCTTGAGAAGTAGGTGCTATTATTATCGACATTTTACAAATGAGGAAACTGAGGTAAACTGTGGTTAATTGACTTGCCCACAATCACATAGCTAGTAATGGCATAGCTAGTAATCACATAGTCTGAGGCCAGATATGGACTCAGGTCTTCCTGACTCCAGCCCCAGTGCTCTATCCACTGTGCCACCTAGCTGATGGAAAGCTTTAGAGCTCTAAGAAACATCTTAGAGACCATTTAGGAATTGACACTTTTCATCTTTATACCCCCAGCACTTGGCACTTCTGTTGAACTGACTATCTAGTTGATATCTTGAGTTGAGGATGGGAAGAGAAGCAGGGGAAAAGAAGAGGAGAAAGGTCTGGTCATAGTTATGTCTCTCTTTCCCTAGGTACAAGAAGCTCTGTCAGTGGTAGACTCCTTCTCCCTGGTTCTGGAAGAAGACGGTACTATCATAGAAACAGAGGAGTATTTCCAGACACTAAATGAAGACACAGTTCTCATGGTCCTAGAGAAGGGGCAGAAATGGCGACCAGCACCCCACCAGGTAAACCAAGGCAGGGGGACACAAGGGGAAAGAGAAGATAAAACTCTAGTGGTGGCAGAAGCTATCTGCTAACTGCTCTTATCCATGTCCTAACTAACCAGCCTACCTCCGTGACCTTTTATAATGCTCATTTTAGGGGTCTGGATATGAGCTCTCACTCTCTCAAAAGCCCTCTAAGAGGATGGATGTGGCCTCTGTGACCTTTGACTTATACAAAGCAAGGCCAGATGACTTCATTGGCTGTGTGAATGTGAAAGCAACACTGTATGGCAACTATACACTGTCCTGTGATCTGCACTGCTATGGGGCCAAGCGCATCATGAAGTGAGTAGTTTTGGGGAAGGCACCTCAGCTTACCAGCACATTCATCCACTTCAAAACTCTGTTCTAATTTAGCTCAACAAGTATTTGCACAGCTAACATGAACACAGTACTATCCTAGATGTTGAGATACAAAAGCATAAGATATGGTCCCTGACCTAGCTGTCCAGCCAAACTGGCTGCCTGGTTATTCCTCAAACATGGCATCATAGCTCCCACCTTGGCACAGGTGTGCGCATGCCTTCTTCACCATCTCCTTAGAATACCTTGCTTCCTTTAAGGCTTGTCTCAGGTGGTAACTTTTGTATGAGGTCCTTCCTGATTTCTTTCCACCCCAGTTATCTCTCCTTCCTGATTGTTGTTGTTGTTCAGTCATTTCTGTAGGGTCTAACTCTTTATGATCTCATTTGGGGTATTCTTGGCAAAGATACTAGAGTGGGTTGCCAGTTCCTTCTCCAACTCATTTTACAGATGATGAAACTGTAAACAAATAGGATTTTTGTAAGGCAAACAGGATTAAGTGACTTGCCCAAGGTCACACAGCTAGTAAGTGTCTGAGACCAGATTTGAACTTAGGAAGATGAGTCTTCCTGATTCCAGACCCAGCACTCTATCCACTATACCACCTAGCTGCTCCTTCCTGATACTACTTCGCATTTTCCTTTCTGTATACATGTAGGCAGCTAAGTGGTACAGTGACTAGAGCGCTGCACTAGGAGTCAGAAAGTCACTCAACTTCTTAGCTTCAGTTTTCACATCTGTAAAATAGGGTAATAACAACACCTACCTCATAGACAGTTAGGACCATAATATATGTAAAGTGCTTTACAAATCTTAAAGTATTATATATGCACTAGCTATTTTGATGATGATGTCAATGATGATGATAATAATAATAGTGATGATGTTATGTTGTAGCCACCTAGTAAAACTAATCAATAGGGCATTACTATAACTTCCTTGAAGTTAGAGGCTAATTTGTCTCTGTATCCCTAGTGTCTTACACTCAATAGATATTTAATAAAATGTTTGAAAGAGTTTTACATTCTAGTTGAAGAGACAAGATGTTAATTTTCTCTGCTTGAGTATAAGTACAGGCCACGTGGGCGATTAAGGCCAAAAGTGCCTTAGATTAGTGGTGTCCAACTCAAATAGAAACAGGGACCACTGCTGATCCATAGAGAAGGATCCTTGTAGGCAGCATATTGACTTAGTTTTAAAATGTAATGTCAATTGTTGCATTGTGTTTTTATTTGTTCTGTTAAATACTTCCCAAACATTTTAATCTGGTTGTGTAACCTGAAGTGTTGGCCAGCTGGTTACATGTTTGACACCTTTGCCTTAGATGGTAGAGGGAGAGCTCCCTATGAGCTGGGAAGATGGAAGAAGGTTCCCCTAGATAAGGTGGCATTTGAGCTGAGCCTTAAACAGAAGGAATTAAGTAGATAAAATGAAAGGGGGAGGCTGACCGTGAGGAGTCTCTCCAAACCTAAGAGGTCTTTATCATGACAGATTTCTGAGTGACCTGAGGAAGGGCAGGAACAGGCCAAGGTGCATGACTGAATGGAAAGCTGGAAGTTGTCCTAAGCCTGGCCATTTGACTGACACAAATGATCTAGTACCAGCAGAGGGATTACAAAAGAACGGGTTTATTTCATTCATACACATACAAGTGTTACATCTAGAACAAGGATACATGTTAGTGACTCTGGTTCACTTGCGTGAACTTCCCTTGTTTTCCTTTCCCCCATGGAAATGATGCTTTCATGAACATACAGTAGAGAACCATCCAATACGAGGAGGCATCAGGCCCCCTTCTCCGTGGGGCAGCCTTCTATTTCCAGGGGATTACTAGAAACCTCAGCACCAGGACAAAGTCTTCAGTTATGCATGAAACAAAAATCGTTAGCTGCCTACACAGGAGCCGGGCTCCTGTCCATCAGCATCCCCTAACTCCCAGTGGCTTTTACTTCTTTCTGCTCCACAGCCTGAGAACTTGCTCCTTGAAATCCTAGCAGCTCCCTCAACCCTACTTCCTCCCTTGTGTATAGGCCTGGGCATAGCCTACTTCAAAAACTGTGGATTTTCTTATTCCCCTCTTTTCATGATAGCCCAGCTGACTCCTTGACTTCTGAAAGCTTTGCAGAAGTCACTTATCTTTATAATTATTCCAAAATGTGATGAATGTCACTTGAAAGTTTTCCTTTCTGCCCAGGCCAAGGGTGCATTGTATATTGCCTGAAAGGGCAGTAACCAGGATGAGCCTGAAGTCTGGGGCCCCAAAGCCTGGACTCAAAACTTGCTATGATAAAAATGAAAGCTCACCTTAAGCAGGATATCAATATCCCACTAATGCCTGAAGATTTCCCTCCGTCCAAGGCAGGTATTCTTAGTGTGTATGTGTGTGTGTGTGTGTGAGACAGACCATTTGGTGAAGCCTAGCAACCCTTTCTTAGGATAATGTTTTTAAGTGAATAAAATAAATATATAGGATTACAAAGAAAACCAATCATATTGAAATAGTTATTAAAATATTAAAAACAAATTCATGGATCCCAGGTTAAGGGCCCCTGGCTTAGGGAGGACTGAGAGGAAAAGATTTAATATAGCTCAGGTAGAGATTGGAAACAGTCAGCAGACATTTATTAAGTACTCACTATGTGCCAGGCAACACAAAAGTGCTGACGATACAAAGAAAGGCAAAACAGTTCATGTCCTAATGGAGCTTACATGCTAAGGGGGGAGATGACATGCAAACAATCATGTACATACCAAAGAAATTGGAGGTTATCTCAGAGAAAGGCACTAACATTAAGGGGGACATGCCAAGGTTTCTTGCAGAAGATGGGATTTCAGCTGAAACTTGAAGGAATACAGGAGGCAAAGATGAAGAAGAACATTCCAGGCATGGGAGATAGCCAGCAAAAATGCAGGGAATTGGGAGATGAAATATCTTATGCAAGACAGAGCAAGGAAGTCATTGTCACTGGATCTCAGAGTATGTGGAGGGGAGTAAAACTGGAAAGGTAGGACAGGGCCAGTTTACAAAGGGCTTTGAAAGCCAGAAAATTTTGTATTTTATCCTGGATGTAATAGGTAACCACTGCAATTTATTGAGTGTGGGGAGTGGGGTGGGTCAGAGAATGGGAATGATATGTGGGAAATAGACTTGTGTGTGTGTGTGTGTGTGTGTGTTTGTATGTGTGTGTGTGTGTGTTTGTGTGTGTGTGTGTGTGTTTTGCTTTTTGATGAGGCAATCGAGGTTAAGTGACTTCTCCAGGGTTACAGAGCTAGTGAGTGTCAAGTGACTGAGGCAGGATTTGCACTCAGGTCCTTCTGACTCCGAGGCCAGAGCTCTCTCTATCCACTGCACCATCTAGCTGCCCCAACAGACTTGTATTTTAAGATCAGTCTGACAGTTGAGTGGAGGGTGGCCTGGAGTGGGGGGAGGCATTTGGCAAGCAGACCAACAAGAAGACTATTGTAGTAATCTAAGTATGAGACAGTAAGTACTATACCAGGGTGGTTGCAGTGTCAGAGGAGAGAAGACATATAGAAGAGATACTGTGAAAATAGAATCAACAGGTTGTGGCAATGCACTGGACGGTGGTGGGGAAGGCTGGTGGTGCTGAGAGAATAAGGAGTTGAGGGCGACATCTAGGTTTTGAGCCTGGTCACTAGGAGGATGGTAGTAGTGTCCTTGATGGTAATATGGAAGTGTGGAAAAGGGACGGGTTTGGGGGCAAATATAATGAGTTTAGTTTTTGGACATGCTGAGTTTAAGGTGTCCGGTTCAAGATGTCCAGTCTTGGGGATGTCAGACTGGGACTACATCAACAGCTCTCAGACATGCTCTCCTTCCAGCATTGCCCTTCAAGTGACATTTGTCTTTTCCTCCTTCCTCCTCCCTACCCTCTCTACTCAGGGAAGCTCTCCGATGTGCACTCTTCACCATGCAGGCCACTGGTCATGTCCTTCTGGGGACCTCCAGCTTCATGCAACACCTCCTTGAAGACACAGAGAAGCCACAGGCCCTGGAGGGGGGCATACTGCCTCTCCCAACAAAGCTCATAGTCCCTTCCCTTATGAGAATGCTACAGTGAAACCTCTGGCCAAACACTGAACTGCAGAGAGCTCAGAGTGCTCCTGACTGCCTGGGAGTATTTTCACCAGGATTTCTGCTGGTCTATCCAGTCTTTCCACCCTCCTGCTATTATACCACAAAGTCAGAGGAACAGCAGAAGCAATGGGTGTGGACTGAAGGGGAAGCCGTGGGCTTTCTTGTTCCCTTTTCCCCTAACTCTGCCCCAAAGAGTCTGGCCAACCCCTTACCTGGTCAGAGTGACCTATGCTATAAGTCATAGTCCTCTGGGACCCATGATCGCTGTAACACTGAATATGCATTTCCCTATGCTTGCCTCACTCCAGCATTGCCTCATATTGTCATAAATTAAACCCACTATGGTGGGATAGATTTGTAATATGTAACCTATGGAAATTACTGCTTCTTTGTCTCTTTTTCTTGACAATTTTGTGCCTATGTGTGGATCTACAGGGTTGGGTGACTATGCGGGCAGAGATCCATAGGCTGTGAATTCGACAGCTGCAGCAAATTGGGACCACTCCCTGTGCCACTGGAATAAGAGCTTCTGGAATTTGAGGAGTTTGAAAAAGAGAGGGCTGGATCAGCCTCTTCCCATTTCAATTCCTTCACTTGGTGGCACAAATGTGTACGTGGGTGTAGAGCTAAGCAATCCCATTACGGATGGAGGGAAAGGGGAGCCCACCCACAAAACAAGTGTTGCAAAGCAGATTTATAAAAATTTTTTCTTTGTAGCTAGATGGAGACGGGAATAGGATGCTTTGGGGCTTGTTATCTATGTCCAGTTTGGGGTGACACTGTCACCACTCTCTAGGTTGAGGTGGTGTAAGGGTATCAAAGATAGCACCCCAGACTTGTACGAAGTAATGCAGAGTGAATTGAGCAGAATCAGGGAAACAATCTATACAACAACAGCAATATTGAAAAACAAACAAATTGGAAAGATCTGGGAACTCTGATCAACAGAATGACCAACCACAATTCCAGAGCAATTGGACTCAGGGGAGCAATGGACTCAGAATGCAGACTGAGACATACATGTATCTTTTTGGACATGGCCAGTGTAGGAATTTATTTTGTTTGGCTATATACATATTTGTAGCAGGTTTTGTTTTTCTTGTTTTCTTATTTGGAATGAAGGTGGGGGAGAAAGGATGTGGATCTGAAAATAAAATTTAGAGTTTTGTTTAAATGCTTGGCCAAAAAAAAAAATTGCTTCTTATCTTTCCTTTTTTTTTTTTTTTTTTTTTTTTTTTTAAGGGGAAACATTCTATTTTGTGTGGTGTGGTTTGTCCTTCATTCTCGAAGAGGACCATGACATCAGGGAAATGATGACATGACTTTCATTAAATTGGATTTGAGTGAGGGAGAGCTGTGCAAAATCACCAGCCTCACTTTCTCCTCCAGAGCCATCTGGGTCCAGTGGCCAGATATAGATCAAGATGAGTGGAGATGGCCCCGGATGCAGTGGGAGACCTTGCCTTTTTAAGCTAAGGTCTTTCTGAGTTCTCACTTTGAGTGAGGCAACACACATTCGGTGAATGAGTGTTAAAGAACTGTTGAAGAAGTGAGTCAAGGGAAGTACCCTTTAATAATAATCATTTTAAAAATCAATCTTAGATGTGTTAGAGATACACCTGGGGTGGAGGTAGGGGGTAAAAATTTCTAGGAAGGGTAATGGATAAGGAGTAAGGTAAGGTGCTCCATGCTAAACTCTGTTTCCAAAACTATACTTTGGGACCTTGGAATGACACTGGAAATGACCCTTGATTTAGTCAAAATTATCTAATAAGGGAGGTATGGTTGCTCCCATCCATGCCCTCGGGGGCTTGGTCCTCTATAGATACTATGGTCCTCTGTGGATACTTTAAGGTTATTGTTAGGCAAAAAATAGAAGATTTTATTGACTGATTTTAGGGAGAAATCAAAAGGCAAGGGAGAATTACTGCAAGAGAATTACTCCAAACTAGCTGGCAAGAGGCAGGAGAAAGGCTTTAGTTTGCCCTCCAGTGAGTAATTAAAGGCCTTATAGAGGTGCTTATGGTAATCCTTCCCCACACACACCTTGGGATGCTACATGTGAAATGCTAATTTAGATATATACAAGTTCTAACAAGGGAGAAAAGCCTTACTTATTAATAGGTCTATGGATAAATGTGTGCATGCATGTATGTATTCTATAGGGAAAGGATTGGGACTGATTCTATAATTATTATTATATATTATGTATAATATATATTTCTACATATATCATTATGTCTATCTATATCTATATCATTAACATAGAAAACTCTACCAATGCAAGCTGGAATTTTCTATGCAATTTATAGTCTCAGTTACCTAGAGCAGGGAGAGCCAGTATGTATCAGCAAGGGGTCTGAACCCAGGTATTCATGGCTTTGAGGCTGATTTTCTGTTATAGTTTCTACCTCTATTCTATAACAATCAATGCTGATTTGATTCATTTATATTTCTCAGGAGGAAAAAAGGATAACATTTGCAGTTACAAAATTCCAAGAACGAAAGCATATCTTTGTATACACAATTAGGAGTACAGAACTACAGGAACCTGATATACTGGTCTGGCTGCAGCAATTAAAGTTTGTCCCTGCTACACCTCATGAATTAAATGATTTTAGGGTAGATTATTTGGCAGCTAAGTGGTACAGTGGGTGGAGCACTGGGATTGGAATCAGGAAAATTATTTTCACAAGTTCAAATCCAGCCTCAGACACTTAGTAGCTGTGTGACCCTGGGCAAGTCACTTAACCCTATTTGCCTCAGTTCTTCATCTATAAAATGAGCTGGAGAAGGAAATGTCAAAATTGTTCCAGTATCTTTGCCAAGAAAACCTACAATTGAGTCACAAAGAGTTAGACACAACTGAAAAATGACTGAACACAATAAATACAAAATATATACAAAGCATAGGTAAACCAGCACAAGATAATTTGGAGAAGCAGACATACTAACAGCTGGGGTGGAGGAGTCTGAACCAGAGAAAGGGAATGGTATTATGTGAGAAACAATGCGTAGTTATCAGTAATACCAAGCCATCTGGGAAAACACAGAGTGATCAGAGAAAATCTCATAGAAGTCAGTTTTGCCCTGGGATTCAAGGCCAGAAGTTGGATTGGGGTAGAGTGGGGGGCAGGGAAGAGAGAATCAATTTGTTAAGAGCAGTGAGTGTCTAAACCAGGAGGGGAATATCCTGTCTCAGTTTAACTATTTGCAGAGTGGAGGCAATTTCCTGTTCCACTTTCATGCTGTGGTAGTAGCTGAACGTTATGAGTACTTATAGTTTTCGGAAGTTTGCCAATAGCAAGTAAGTAGCCTCATGCTAATGACTGCTCTTAATATGAATCTATTTCCTATACTGCAACACAAACTCAGACATCTTTCCACTCTAAAATAAGGCTTTATTTGCATTGTTGTTACTTACCACTTGGAACAGAAAAGCATAGTTAAGCCAAACAGCCAACCAACACACCGATCATGTCTGACCACATGTGGCCTGTTCTGCACCAGTAGAGTGCCCCGTCTCCCTAGCAAGAGACGGAAGCTGTTCTTCCTCATCAGTCCTCTGGGGCTGCCTTGGTCACTACATTGATCAGGTTTCAGATCTTTCAATATTTTCCTTTATGCTATTGTGGTCATTATGCACATCCTCTTGATTTTCCTCACTTCTGTTTGCCTCAGGTCATATGTCTTGCCAAACTTCTCCGAATTCTTCAATTCATTATTTATTACAACACAATACCATTCCACTCCTTCAGTATATCATAATTTGTTCAGCTATTTTCCACTTGAAGGATACCTCCTTTTGTTTCCAGTTTTTTATTTCCATGGAAGTGGCTGCTATATTTTTCAGCATCTATGTGACATTTCCCCCTCATAGACCTTGTTCTTGGGCCATATATCCTAAGGTCAGAAGATACTTTCCACCTCTTTCTATTCCCTTCTATTTCTTGCCCCCTTACCTTCCCACTAAGTTCCAGTTTAGGCATTTATTGCTTTTCATGCGATAGATAGAGACTAGTGTTGGAATGGAAAGTGATGGGGAGACATACAGTGCCCTAAGGGTTAAAAGAATATTAATGTTGCTTTTCCAGTACTTTGTGAAACCCCAGCTTATTCTGTAACTTGAAAGGCATCCTAAAGTCCTTTCCCCCTTATCTTGAACCTGTATCAAAAGAAATGCTTTTTTATTCCCTATCTTATGTTCCTCCTGTCCTTTTATCTTTAACCTGCTCGGGGGACAGCTAGGTGGCACAGTGGATAGCGCACCTGCCCTGGAGTCAGGAGGACCTGAGTGCAAATCTTGCCTCAGACACATAACACTTACTAGCTGTGTGCCCCTGGGCAAGTCACTTAACCCCCATTGCCCAACAACAACAAAAAAATTTTTAGCCTGTGCCCTCATGCCCTGTCCTTAAATTCTTAAACCATAAAGAATTCCCTTTGTCTCCATTCTTCGTCATAAAATCCTTCCTTGATCTGTCTCTAATCTTTAACCCCCCCCAAAAAACTTCTAAAACTGTCTTGTAAGCAACCATCTTCCTCATCCTGTCCAGTTTCCACATAAATAGATAAGAAATCATCACAGACAGGCTAACTTCTCCATGGGCGGGGGGGGTGGGAGGGTGATAACACAATTCTAGGCCCATAATGTATATTAGGGGTGGAGCATATAAGGAAGATTGTAACCCAGAAGGATTAGGACCAATCCTGATCCAGAAGAGAGGAGTTAGGCAATTACTAACTATAAACCTTGCTCTGGCTTCTTTTACCTCCTGCAATTCTCCACCTCTGAGGAGGTGCGCCGGCTTCTCTCGAGAATCGAAAGGATGCACTTCAACCTCTGTAATAAAAAGTCTTTGAGACACCAGTCTTCGGAACTGAGTCTGGGGTCATCTTTATAACAAAAACAAGCCCCTGTCTCTTTTTAAGTTGCTAGTCTTCTTTCCAGGGATAGTCCGCTGCTTTTGCATGAGTAAAGCTCCCAATGGTTACAGAGGTCTAAGTGAATTCTTTTACACCTGAACCAGCTCTCCCAACTCTAACCTCAGCATAAAAGACACTGGACTTTGGAATCAAAACCCAGGTTCTGTCATTTACTAGACCTGTGACTGTGGGAAAGTCACAACCTCTTCATCAATGCCACAGATTTGTCCTGAAGAATGAATTAATAATGTATGTGAATGATTATAAGAAATGTCAAGCAGGATGATTTCAGAAAAACCTGGAAAGACTGACAAGAACTGATGCAAAGTGAAGTAAGCAGGACCAGGAGAATGTTGTACACAGTAACAGCAAAATTGTATGATGAAGAATTGTGAATGACTTAGCTATTCTCAGCAATACAATGATCCAAGAAAATCCCAAAGGACTAATGAGGAAACATACTATCCACCCCAGAGAAGTAACTAATATTCTTTGAATACAGACTGAAGCAGGCTATTTTTCACTTTCATTCTTTTTCTTTTATTTGAGTCTTGTACAAAAAGTCAGTTGATGGGATTATAGCCTCAGGCGCAAGCCGAAGACTTGGCCATGTGGGAACCTTTCTGGGGTCCAGATCCCAACCCCATCAATATTGGGCAGACTAGATTTTAAGAATCTGAGCATCTTAATGGAGACAGATGGACCTTATATACAGAGAGACTATGGGAGGGATCTAGGAGTGGTCAAGTAGTCTATGAGGTAATAGAACTCCAAGGATCTGGACCACGTGGCCAAGGGAGAATGAACCCTAGATAGGAGTAAGGGTGGGAAGTGGCCTGGGGCCTTAGAGAGGTAAGACAATGGTGGGCTAGGCTAGGTCCAGGGTAACAGAGAATTGAGAGATTGGGAGTAGTCACAATGAAAGGCCAATTGATGGAATTATGGCCTCAGGGGAACGACGTAGATTTAGCCAAGTGGGAAAATCCAAGGTTTTTCCTTTTTTGGGGTCTAGTTGCCATCCTCATCATGGGGACTGTCTTGCTTTTCTGTTTGTATCCCCAGCACTTAGCTCAGCGTTTGCTCATAGTAAGCCCTTAATTCAACCATTCATTCAGTGATGCTAAAGAGA